GCTAATTTAGGGGAAAAAATTTTAAACTTTGAGAAAATTAAATTTTAAATAACTTAAATTTTACTGTTTAAAGAAGTTTAGATTAAGAATTTCCCTAAGAATAAACAGTAATAATTATTGCCATTTCTATCCTTCTACCTTTAGAGTTTTAATTTATTGGGCATCTTTTTAATTTCCCCAAATCCCCAAACTCCATCACACAATTTTTTTATTATACAATTTGTATTTATTGAATGTAAATCCTTATATTAGTAGTTTAATATGGAAACTTTACAAATAAATTTTTAATATTTAAATGCTTAATGTATAAATTCATCATATCTTGAGAGCCAAAATTTCTTTCAAATATCAAGAAGGTAAACATATAATTGCCACTCTTTCCATCAGAGTTTCAAAGGTAATGCTAGATACTCAGAATTAATATTAATGTATTCCATTTCCATCTGAGAGCTAGAGGGTCAATGAGAAAGTCTTTGCACCTTGTCTTAATATTCCCACTTGTATGTCTAACTTTGTCTAAGTAGCTAACTTTGTCAAAGTTAAAGTGATTATATAAGGGTTGAATTGATTAAATGGACTATAAAACACCTGTCAAGAGTTTCAGTTGAGTATCAAGATATTCCAGAAAGGCAAGCTTCATGTCCTCAAGCTGATTACTTTCAAGTGAACTGGAGAATAACCAAAAGGCTTGATCCTGGAGTAAAAGAGAGGTTAGGAAGCCAAATTCAAGCATGATTTTTTTCCATAATTTAGTGCAGAAATAGCACATGACTTATTCATTATCACAGTTGAACAGATAGAGTGGCAGAAAAGCCCTTTTTTCTTCTAAGCCCTTGAATGCTGTTTCCATCATCTGCTATAGTGGTTACTACATACATAAGAGTGACAATACATTGCATTATTTCTTTCCACAGCCTCAGAAACTTGCTTGTGCTGTAATTAGAAGAGAGTTTAAGGATTTTTTTTTGGCATCAATATTATTTCATGATTAATTGCATAATATATACATAACAAGAAAACATGAATTCAGGCATTCTCTAGAATTTCTAGGATATGGTTATTGCCTCCAGGTTTTTGGTAAAGAATGAAAAGGACCTACTAGTTATTTGACATTGACCATAGTTTCTTGGAATTCTGCAAAATTCTATAAATTATTTTAAGGCATGAAAATATATGAAACAGTTTTCAGGAAAATTGTAAGTTTCAAGTTTTCTAAAACACCTATGGGTAGATTTGACTTGAAGATTTAAAGACAAGTATCAAGTGGTCAATGCTGACTCCGGTAGCATTGTAAATACTCCTTAGTAATTGTATAGGACAGCCAATTGTAAGGACACAATATGAAAAACTCATTTAAAAGTGTTTGGTTTCTAATTGAATAACACACTTGCACAACTGCTAGAGTTTTTGTCCTTGATGTAGGGTAAACCGTTCCTTTATAAGGAATAACTGATGTCTATAATTTACTTGTAATAAATAGTTACATGGCTATGCAAATGAAAATATAGATTTCCTTTTCAGAGCTTTGTGACTTCTTACACTAACTCACTAGTTAAGAAAGATAAAAGATGGTCATACTATTTTACTTTTTTTGCATAAGTTTAGAAAAACGTATTTTCCACTTAAAAAACACAGTTAATTAAAATATACTTCTACAGTGGCCTCCAAAATAAGTCACTTTTAATGCCCATTGTCAACATTTATACCTAAGAGGGCACCTTTGGGGTTGAAGAAGGCTGGAACTAACAGTATTCAAAGAATGTCAACACCAGTCCTTCCTTTGCCAGAAAAGATCATTAGTTAGCAATGAGTCAGATGCTGCTTCTACACACCTTGCCAGACCCTGAAGCAACACATTTTCTCAGAGCCTGAATTTGGCTTCCTATGTGGCAGCATGACTGGCCACTACTACTCAGTGTTGGGCAAGTCTATGAACACATCCACTGATAATTTCTATATTTATAGAAAGCCAGAACATGTGTAGATAATCACACAATTGGATATTTATGTAGTGCCAGATTTTATGAATACAAGAATTTGTTAATTAGCACAAGGACTAATCATTAAAATTCAAAAATAGATAAATAAACAGGAATGCCATTTATTTGTTAACATTTTGGGGGAAAGTATGCAGCTGCTATCCTTTTGATGAATATAGGCTTCTGCAGAAAAATAAGAAGAAAATGTATCTGCAATTTTTGAGACCCTAATGAGTAAGATCCAAGAAACCACTATATTGTCTTTGCATTAAAAATAATCATAGTGATTCGCCCCTTAAGTTAAAATAAAAATAAAAAGTTTAAACTGGCATGTGCTTAGCACTTGAATTATACTGTTTGGCATTCCACTGTTTTGGTCCTTTTCAAAGAGCCAAAGCTGATTTTCATCGGATAGGAGTTAAAAAGCATACACACGTCACTCAGTACCAAATTGTTTTAGCTACAGGGCATGGCAAAGCATGAAATAACTGCTTTAGAGCACTTCCTCATGTGGGTGTGTTAGATAACTGTCTGCTCCAACATTAAAATGAAACACACTGTGACCTGACCAAAGCTTCAAGAATCTAAACAGGCAGATTTCATGTGCTGATAGGAAGAGCCCACCATAACCAGCAAGGCTGGTTAATGAATTTTTCTGGCATCCTATAGCCCTCCTGTGACGCAGGCCTTTCAGCTTTCCAAATCCCTATAGAGCAGAACACACTGGTTTTAAGTTTACTTATGCACATTTTACAATGTCCTGCTGTATTTGGATTGTGATAGTTCCTTCCAGAAAAGGGCAAGATTACTTTTCATACTAAAAATATCTTAAATCTATCCAAGGCTAAGAATTATGATGCAAAAGAAAATATATACACATTCTGAAAATTAAAACAACCACAAACCAACTAAAATCTTGCTTATTATTTCTAGAAAGTTAAAATAAATTTTCATTTTCTCATGAATTATCTCCATTTTGTTTGCTTATGAGTAACATAAATATACTTAATGTGAAATTTTTAAAAACTCATATCAGCAAAGAATCTGTGATTCTTTATCTGTATACACATCTATGAATAAAGGCACAGAAATGCACACCAATATTTCTACACATACATGTGTACAGAAAAAAAAAACTTAGTCAAGATATGTAACAATTTTCTTTAAAAATATGAACAGAATCTTAGATAGTTTTAACATATGAATATAGAAAATGACAGGTGCAAGAAAACATGTACATTTTTTACCTCCTTAGCTTTGAAAGCAAATTTTTGGGTCAGAGTCTGAAATGGAAGAAATCAAATTCAAAACACCATTTACTGTGTGTCATATTAATATGCAGTTACAAAAAACTTCCCCCAAAGTTCCCCTTAAACCTTTGAGGGGGAAAAAAAGTCTCTAGCAGGACCTGATTGAGTGTACTTTGTATTTGTACTATTGTTGGTCAAATCTGGTTTTCCCAGCTTAAAAGACACTTTAGGAAAAATAGCAAAAAATCTAAATGTTTTTTAAAAAGTGGTAAAAAGGACTACTAGCAGCAAAAGTTCACCACCCTCTTGCAATAATGGATTTTTAATAAACATTTTACTAGATTTGAACCTTGAGAATGTGTTTGGGAATCTGTTCTAGCCTCCCAGGTGGGTTAAGAATATTGCTTATGCACTTCTTTGTGTTGTTAGAAAGGCCTAATGGAATTAAGAAGGTGGGGGGGAGTCTGCCACTTATATTAAATAAATAATTTATTTTAAAAAAGGTGTTATTATCAAAGATCTCTACAGATGAGCATCCATTTTCTATCCTTAGTCTTTTACATACTGAAAACATTCACTGTGTCTTAATTTTTATCAAATGAATAGCAGTTTTGCTTTCAGACAATCCAAATAAAAATTAAAGAAGTCTGTTTCAACTGGACATTACATAACTACTCCTTTGAATTTTGGAGAATACTGTTCTGGGAAAACTGATCAATAATATCAGCTAGTTTGAAACATAACTTTCCCTACCACAAAAAAAAAAAAAAAAGGAGAAAGAAAAAGAAAGCACCTCAAAACTGTATTTGAAATAACAAATACACTATTTATGGTCCCAAAATGTTAATGAATACTTACAGTTGTTGCACAAGATGGCCTGATACACTTCATAGCTTCCACTTTGTAAAAAGATGGCCAACCCCCCTCCCCTCTTTCCCCAAGCATAAATAAACAGTAACATACTAAAAGGAAACTATCCTAGGATAAAAACTGCTTGTTAAGAAAGTTTTCATTCTTCTAACCACAGTGATAGTCCTATAAATGCAAAAGTCCATTTGTAAACTAAGAGTTAGAAAACAGAGCACCCTATTTCTTTCAAAATGTAACCCTGGATGAAATATTTCCATGTATGTGATGATAAAAACAATTACTTATTTCTTGCCTACCCTCAGCAACTACTACTCATTTTATATACGACATCAAATAAACATGCTGGCAAAAGTATTCAACCTGCTTCAAGGATTTAAACTGTAAATATGGACTTTAAACTTCAATGTAAAACAAAGAACAAGTCTCACTTTAGTAATACCCACACTGGCACTGCAGCTAAAACTCACTGGCAAATAACTAACAAAACCCAGTTAGCAATAAATAAGGACAACATGATATATAGACAGACAGATGGAATTGCATAAACAGACAAGAAAAGCAAAGAGACAAACATACGGAGGAGTATGTTTTAAAAAGAGTGAAAGATTCTGATTTGTTTGGTACTTTAGTGAGAAAATAGGTTTGCAATTATTTTTAAAGTAATAAAACTGAATCACAAGGTCACACCCTTAAATAAGTAACAAGAAAATTAGTAGAGGTTAGGCCTCCTATGTATGTTCCAAATTTTAAGCTAGCATTAGCTCTGTCAAATTTAAATATGGAAATTAAAATTCAAGGAAGAAAGGATAAAAGCATTAGGAACTAGAAGATGATAGATGGAGAGGTGATTGAGGCAGCAGGATTTTTTTTTTTTTTTTTTTATGAAAGTTGTCTTCCCTACCTTCTTCCCCAGCGCTGAGTTTCTCTTCTCATAATCGGTGTCTCCCTGGAAGTACAGTGTGAGTGGTAATGACTGCCTGCCTCCCTAATGAGTCCATTTTCCTGCTCTTGATGTTGTGTATATACACACACTGCAACCTACCTTACAAACCACAGAGACGGGAAGAGAGAGAGAGAGAGCAAGAGAGAGGGAGGGACAGGGGGGCAGAGAGAGAAAGAGAGACAGACAGCAACCAAGCGAGTGAGAGAGGGAGGAGAGAGAAAGAAAAACAGAAAGAAACAGAGAGAGAAAGGCACAGACAAAGCCCTCCTACCAGACAGCAGACAGCCCTCCTTCCCCTATCCAGTAAAATGCAACTCGTCTAATGCAGCAACAGGTTCAGTATTGCTAGGCTAACAGAGTGAAAAGGTATATTCTCTATATCATTACTGCTTGCAAATAAACAGTTTAAGAGCAGCTGGCTCCACCTTCTTTATTTATGCTCCATTATGAGGAATGTATTGTTTCAGTTCTGGCACACAGTACGTGTAATTATCATAAATACATTTTTCACATATTAGCAAGAAATAGTGAAATGCACAGCTTATTTTTGCAATCTTTTAAATTTATTTTTTAATGTGAGAAAAATGTCAACAAATCTGTTCTGACAAAAGCCTATTATTAATGATTTTAAAGTCAGGGCAGTCTTAAAGGAGACTCTGTGAGAAACAGACTCATACGATAGGAAAACTGATCTCAGACAAAATTGATAACTGCAAAGAAGAAATCATTGCTCAGTAAATAAATCAAGACCATATAGAAAATTGCAGACAAAAACAGAATTAAGTTTAATTAAGTTACTAATAGGCTAGTACTCTAGAAGAAGGCAGACTGGCTTCTCATTTGAAGGATCTAGCTATACAAACATCACAATGCAGTGTACTCTGTATGAACAGGTGCGATGCAAATAAGTACATAGTACATAACAACAAAAATCCCTTAAGAAGATACCATCACAGGCAGAAAAGATTTCTTAGAATATGGATCTGAAACTATCATAGATATAACTTGATCTTTTATTAGGAGGAAAAAATTAAAATAATCAATGCTTCTAAATAAACTTCCCTTAAAAGAATAAAAATGTTTTGTCTGACATCTCTAATCAAATGTTTTTTCACATTCGAGCTCCAAAATAATGTTGTTGTTATGTTCCTCACCTATCACATGTTCCATGCCCTTTCCTAACTCCTAGGTGCCTTTTTTCCCTTAAGTGACATATTTGCAACTTCAGAATTACAAACACCAGAAAATAGAACTTGTTTCAAGCCATTCTCCTCCTCCTTCAATTTTTCAAAACTAGACTCTGCCTGATGAGTTGCACTTCATTCTAGCACTGTATCAATCTAGACACCCACCCTCATAAATGTTTCTATACAGTTTGCTTGTGTGGCATTCAGATAGGATTAAGGAACATTAGAAAAGAGGTAAATTTTTCTAAAGAAATTTTTTAATAAATAAAAGAGTACATTTGAATTATTCCAACCCTGCATTTGGGCACCAATAATCTTAAGTATATTGATTATAAAAATCATCCTTTTATATATCTTGGCATATTACTGTGCTTCAAAAATGTGTTACTTTGTATAATCAAAACTACCATATTATATTATGTAAGCTTCAATTCCTTTGCTTAAAAATTAGTTTTCCATTAAAAGGTAAATATCTTAAATACTTCAATATGTAACTCAATTCACTTTCTTTATAAATCTTTTAGAATGTCAGGTAAATCCTGGATCATGTTCAAAACACAGATTAACAGTATTTGAGCTATTTTAATGGTTGAGAACCTACAACATAAAAAATTAGAAGTTAATGTCTACCCATACAAGTTATCCTAAGAAAACTCTAGTGAGAAGCCAAGTGTTCAGGACCCCTAGTCTCATTGTAAATCCAATTCTACTTCTCTGATGCATCACTAGCATCTTATCCTCTAAAGAGTGGCTGCTTAAAAAGGAAATAAACCCACGCTAAAATTGACTACCAGACCCCTACTTTGGTGAAATATCTGGAGAAAACCCTTTATAAAGGACACTAGGTGTATCCAAGGTACCTGCATGCTTCTCACTTCTTATTGTTCTGGTAGCAGCTCTGTTTTTCTATATTGCCTGATTGTCTCTCTGAAGTTTTATTCAAATGTATCAAGAGAAATTATGTTAACACAAGTACACAATCCTTATTAGTTTGTATGTTTTGACTTTTGAAAATAAGGTTCAAGGTTTTTGTTGCTGTTGTTTTCTATTGTTTTAATCATAAGAAAACAAGAAGACAGTATTTGACTTTTGAAGGTAGGAATCAAAGGAAATGTAAAAGACCAAGAAGGCTTTTCACCTTTTCTAATGAAAAACTAGAGAGATGAATTTAAAAGAGAAAAACAAGCATTTTGGCCTAGTGAAAAAGCACAACATTTCCAATACTTTCCCCATATCTACATACTTCCAAGTATAATAAGTATAAAAATAATAAACTTTGTTACTATTTTCTGGACCTTCACATATGCTCTTTCTTGCTGAGACTAGAGAGTGGGAAGACTTCAATTAACCAGAATACTAAGTGAAATGATATAGCCTTCCCTGGGTATCTGAGAGGAATTGGTTCCAGGGCCCCTACAAATGCCAAAGATGCTCAAGTCCCTAATACAAAAATCATATTATTTTCATATGATCTACACATATCTTCCTATACACTTTAAATTCTTCTCTAGATTACTTATGATACCTAACATAATGTAAATGCCATGAAATAGCTATTATACTATACAAAATAATAAGAAAAAGTCTGCACACAGTAACAATGTGATTTTTTTCCCCAACATTTTTTTATCAGCTCCTGGTTGAATCTGTAGACACAAAACCAATAATATGGAGTACTTACAGTAATCTTGATTGACTCTCATACTGTGGAATTTATAAACTTATTTAATTTTTTCCTATGTAAATATGTCATGCAGGCAATTTGGTTCTGTTAAAATATCCTAAACAGGGATTTAAAAACTAGCCCACTTCTAAATGGACTTAAGATTCAGTGCAATCCAAACCAAAAATCCCAGAAAGCTATTTTGTAGACATTGACAAATTGATTGTAAAATTTATATTGAGAGGCAAAAGATCCCAAATAACCATATGCTATTGAAGAAGATAAACAAAGCTGGAAAAACTACAGTGATCAAGTATGGTATTGGCAAACAAAGAGACAGAACCATGGAAAAAAATAGAGAGGTGAGAAATAGATGCACATAAATCTAATCAGCTGAACTTTAACAAAATAGAAAAGGCAATACAATGGAGTAAAGACAATCTTTTCCAACAAGTATTGCTGGAACAACTGGACATTCACATGTACGGAGAGCAGGAGGAGGAATCTAGAAACAGACCTTACCTCTTTCACAAAAATTAACTTAAAATGGATCACAAGCCTCAATGTAACACACAAAACTCCAAGACTCCAAAGGTATTAAATCTAGATGGCCCTGATTTTGGCAATGACTTTTTAGATGATATACCAAAGACATGGTCCATGAAAGAAAGAACTGGTATGTAAAACTTCATTAAATTAAAAAATGTCTTCTCTAGATTACTTATGATAAGAATTTTAAATTAAAAATGTGAAAGACAGTTTCAAGAGAATAAGAAAAGCTACAGACTGGAAAATATAATTGCAGAAGACATATACTAGAAAAGATTGATCCCAAATAAGCAAAGACCTCTTTAAATTCAACAATTAGAAAAAGAAAAAACCTGATTAAAAAGTGGACCAAAGAGCTTAACAGACAGCTTACCAAAGAAGATATATGAATGGCAAATAGGTACATAGAAAGGTATTGCATATCATATATCATCAAAAAATGCAAATTAAAAGAATGAGATTAAAACACTGACAATACCAAATACTAGTGAATATGTGGAGTAACAGAAGCTCTCATTCATTGTTGGTGGGAATACAAAATGTTTTAACCACTTTGAAAGACAGCTGATTGTTTCTTAAAAAACTAAATAGACTCTTATCATGTGATCCAGCAATCACATTCCTTGTTATTTGTGTAAAGGAGGTGAAAACTTATATCTACACAAAAACCTGAACAGAGATGTTTACAGCAGTTTTATTCATAATTCCTCAATCTTGATGTAATCAAGATGTTCTTTAGTAGATGGATAATAGATGAACTGCAGTACAGTCAGACAATGGAATATGTATTCAATACTACAAAGAAATGAGATACCAAGCTCTGAAATGACACGGAGAAAACTCAAATGCATATTACTAAATGAAAGAAGCTAATGTGAAAAATCTAAACACCATATGATTCCAACTATCTGACTTCCCAGAAAAGGCAAAATTATGAGAGAGTAAAAAAGTCAATGGTTGCCAGGGATTAGGGTACAAGAATGATGAACAGAAAAAAAATCATACAATATTTTTAGGGCAGTGAAAGTACTCTGTATGATCCAGTGGTGGCAGATATATGTGATTATAAATTTCTTCAAACCCATAGAATGGGGCTGGGATTGTAGCTCAGTGGTACAGCACTTGCCTAGCATGTTTGAGGCACTGGGATGGATCCTCAGCACCACATAAATAAATAAAGCAAATGTATTGTGTCCATCTAAAACTAAAAGTAAAAAAAAAAAATTAAACTCATAGAATGTACACCCCCCAAGAGTAAATAAATCTAGATGTTAAATATGGATTTGGGGTGATAATGATGTGTCAACGTAAATTCATTCATTGTAACTCATGTAGCACTCTAGTGGGGGATATAGATAAGGTGAAGGGGCGATGGATAGGTGAGAGCAGGGAGTATGAGAAATCCTTGTACCTTCCTCTCATATAAGCTATGAATCTAAAACTCTTTGAAAATGAAGTCTATTATCAAATTTTTTAAAAATCCATTTCAATCCCTACATTGCCACTAAACTTTGCATACCCTGGCAAGTCCTGTAACCACCCTCAATCAGCTTCAGTAAATATAATAAAAAACAAAATAACTAAAAGTAGCTCAATGGCAAAGCACTTGCCTAGCATGTGTGGTGCACTGGTTCAATACTCAGCACTACATAAAAAAAATAAATTAATAAACAAAGATATTCTGAGTCCATCTACAGCTGAAAACATTTTTTTAAAAAAGAAAGGAATTTGATTGGATAACATAGAAATAATGATGATAGACAGTGCTTACGTGCTTACTATGTGCCAGGAACTATGCCTAGTACTTTTCAATTATAAACTCATTAAATCCTAATAATGACCCTATAAGAATTTTTTTTAGCTTCATTTCCAAAATGAAGAAACAAGAGAGATTAAGTGATTTGCATGAGATCACACAAATAAGCTGTAATGGAATCTGAACCCAGACTCTCTGAGTTAGACCTCATGTAGTTAATACCTATACAATGATGTTT